AATAATTGGAATTGAATAAATGATGTAAAGTGAAAGTAATATGGTGAGCATAAATGCTGTTAAAGAGAGTGAGACCATTGTATGTTTTTTTGTTTTTTTCTTTTTTCATCATTTTACATATTTGTATTTTAACCCACAAATGACGGGTGTCCCACATATGAGACACCCGAAAAATAAAAATAAACATTGCCGGGTGTCCTACCAGTGTGATGCTGTATCAGGGCTCGCACTCTGACAATTTTGTAGCCGCCTGGAATCTTTTATTTTCGGCTTCAAAAGTCATCTTACAAGTTCAACTAAAAGAACAGTGATTTTTTCTTTCAGATTAAAAACCACATGTGGATCTTTGTAAACTGTTTGATTGTGAACCCCACCTTCGACTCCCAGACAAAGGAGAACATGACTCTCCAAGCCAAAAGCTTTGGCTCCAAATGTAGTTTGTCAGACAAATTTATAAACAATGTAATGAAATGTGGCATTGTTGAGGCAGTCATGACATGGGCAAGATTTAAGCAGCAAGCACAGTTACAGTCCAAATGTGCCAACAGGAAGCAAAACAAACTGAAAGGTGAATTAGGATGTAAAAATCTGTATTGTTTTTATATTGCTTACTTTTAAATGTTCATATTAGAATTAGAAGTTAAGCCTTCTTCACCCATGGATGTGACTGTGGCTTTGGGCTTTGTGATTTTGTATAACTTTCACACATTAATGTCAATGCAGGAGGAAGTTGCTGAGTGGATGGTACCCTAGAATTTTATTATATTCTTTGTCTTCACAGGTATTCCCAAACTAGAGGATGCTAATGATGCTGGAACAAAATTCTCATCTGACTGCACCCTCATCCTCACTGAGGGAGACTCAGCTAAAGCCTTAGCTGTTGCTGGACTTGGTGTGGTTGGACGAGACAGATATGGGGTTTTCCCGCTTAGAGGTCTGGTGACTTTAGTATTTAGTATGATCTATACTTTTGTTTATATATATGTATGATTTTTAGTGGTTTGAATCACTTCAAATTTTATATTTGAACATTTTTATATTTATCTATTATTTTAATAGTGGTAACTCAGGGTTTACTTTTAAGTTCATTTTCAGTTTTTATCTAATTATTGTTATTTTTTGTTACATATATTTTTCAAAGAATTTGAATGGTATGGTTTAGAGTATCAAATGGAAATTCACTTATTTCTAGTGTATTATCAGTTTGCAACTATTTTCCAGGTAAATTGTTGAATGTACGAGAAGCATCACACAGTAAAATCTTAGAAAATGCTGAAATTAACAACATTATCAAAATCTTGGGACTACAGTACAAGAAGAAGTATGATTCATCAGAGGATCTGAAGAGTCTCCGCTATGGCAAGCTTATGATCATGACAGATCAGGATCAGGTGGGAGGATACTAAGAGTAAAAACATAGGGACTTATATTATTGCAAATCTTTAGTTTAAGAAAATGTTAGATTCAAATTTGTCATCAGTGTACATTATTGCTGCGTTGATACTGGTTTACTTATTCTCTATAGAATGTTATAATCAGTGTAAATAGGTCTATAAATCTCTATTGGTGGAAGATGGTAGATATTTGCTATTAATCAGTAAAAGATGTCATTATCAACCCAGTTCCATAAAGGGAATGAGAATAGAGAGTCATGGAAATATTAAATCCCCTCTCTCCAGGATGGTTCTCACATCAAAGGTCTGTTGATCAACTTCATCCACCACAACTGGCCCACCCTTCTCAGACACACATTCATGGAGGAGTTCATTACTCCTATTGTCAAGGCCACAAAGGGCAAGGAAGAACTGTCCTTCTACTCTTTACCTGAATTTGAGGAATGGAAGAAGAACAAAGATAACTGGCCTAGTTACAAGATAAAGTACTACAAAGGTATTTATTTTTTGGTTTAGAGGTACGGAACTTGGTGTTTGAGAAGCAGAGAACATAATGTCCTGCTATTTGGTTAAGCGTGTTGTAAAGTTGGAATTGCTTTCTAAGAAGCTTGTTCTTTGTCAGTACTTCACAATTTTCTTTCCCTATAGGTTTGGGTACTTCCACCTCAAAGGAGGCTAAAGAGTACTTTAATGATATGGTGCGGCACAGAATTCGCTTCAACTATGGTGGGGCACAAGATGACCACTCCATTCAGATGGTAAGTATTGTATTTGTATTGTAATTGTCATTTTGTATTGTTAACCCATTCATGACAGAATGTTGTCCTATCATGTCATATAGACCACCCCTATCACTGGGATGATGTCTTCATGTCATCTGCAGTAGAACTTGCTCTTAATTGTGCAAGCTAAACAGGTTTCCAGATATTTGGTGAAATAACTCCTTATATGTAGGATTAAAGTCTCTTTTTAACCTCCTTACCTAAAAATTAATGCTCAGCCAAAAGCATATAGAGGAGTAATTTTGTTTCCACTGGTTTTGATTTACACTTGAGCAGATAACTCTGCAGTTGGAGGATTTTGTATAGTCCTTATGGGTGCTATTCCTTTGATGTCAGTGATTATTCCCATAATTTTCATACTCTGATATATTTAAAAAGTTTTCATTTCCTTGAATTTGCTTTGCAGGCTTTCAGTAAAAAAGCTATTGAACAGCGTAAGGAGTGGTTGACAGGGTGGATGGAGGAGTGCAAACGCCGGAAGGAACTTGGTCTACCGGAGGTGTATTTGTATGAGCGTGACACCAGAGCTATCTCATACACTGACTTTGTCAATAAGGAGTTGGTCCTCTTCTCCAACCTTGATAATGAGCGATCCATTCCATGCTTGGTTGATGGTCTAAAGCCTGGCCAGAGGAAGGTTTGTTGATAAGTTGAGATTATTCTGAATGTGTTCATGATTTTGTGTAATCAAAATGAGATCTTTTTCTTATTGGATAGTTGATTTACAAGTCAAGTTTTAACATTTTTAAAAGTACTAATAGTAGTTTATTTGTAATTATTTATTTGCATATTTTTCATACTTTTGCTTTATTTTCTATTTCTTGAACCTGTTTTTACTACTTTCATTCATATCAGCACTTAGAGGATTGAAGGGCACAATCAGGTTACTCTGCTTTCTTTGCATCCTGTTCTTGATCAAATAGGCATGCTAGCTAATGATAGTTGAACTTCAGCACATCCCACACCATTACTTCCCTTTTTAGCAAGATATGTATTTGTGGGTTGTGTTACCAGGCATTCAGTCTTAAATATTGTCCATACATTTTGTCTTGTCCTTATCCTGGTTTAATTACATGCTAAAATCACCCTGCTCTCACTGTACCTCTCTCCTCTTCATTCCTTCTCTAAAAAAATTGATATAAAAAACTAAAAGACAATAAAACAGTAATTTTCATTTACAGGTCCTCTTCACTTGCTTGAAACGAAATGACAAACGTGAGGTAAAAGTAGCTCAGTTGGCTGGCTCAGTTGCAGAACACTCAGCATACCACCACGGTGAAGCATCTCTTATGTCAACCATCATTAACTTGGCTCAGAATTATATTGGGTCAAACAATATCAATTTACTCCAGCCCATTGGTCAGTTTGGTACTAGACTGCAGGGAGGCAAGGATCATGCCAGCCCTCGATACATCTTCACAATGTTGAGGTACAGTATTTTGATCATAAAACATTTACTTGTTTCTGAATACACACACCTTTAAATTGTTTCATTGATTAACTAATTAATATTACAAAGTATCACATTGTTTATATATGATGTATTTTATTATTGCTTAAAGAGATCTGCTTTATCATATGAAAGATTGCTAGTGCTATTACTATTAATATTTTTCTCCAACTGAACAGTATTTTGAGGACTTTAAGCAATTCTGTAATGATTTGTTGTCTATGGTGACATTTATTTTATATTGATAATATGTGTCCTGATTGTGGATGATATATTTATTCTTCACCCACAGCAAGCTAGCCAGGTACATATTCCATCCTCATGATGATCCCCTGTTAAAGAGCAATTTTGATGACAACCAACGTATTGAGCCAGAGTGGTATATGCCAATCCTTCCCATGGTGTTGGTCAACGGTGCAGAAGGTATTGGTACAGGTTGGAGTACCAGGATCCACAACTACAATCCTCGAGAAATTGTAGAAAATCTCAAAAGAATGTTGAGAGGGGAAGAGCCAACTCGAATGGTAATTAACTTGGTTTCTTGGTTATTGTAAGACATGTATCTCGTGTGTGGTTTAGCATTCTTACTCTTTGAATATTTTATAATTTATGATATAAATTTTATTTTAGGTACCATGGTTCAAGGATTTCCGAGGCACAGTTGAAGAGCTTGATTCTCAAAGATGTATTGTGCATGGAGAAATTGCAAATTTGGGTGGCAACAAAATAGAGATCACTGAACTGCCAGTTAGAGTTTGGACCCAGGCATATAAGGAAACTGTCCTGGAGGGTATGCTTGCAAGTACAGAGAAATCGCCTGCCATGATTACGTAAGTTATTTTTGTCTAAAACTATATACTTGCAATGTGAAATTATAGATTGACTTCATGGAGATTTATTTTTTGTTTGAAAAGGATTTGTTTTATCTAACCATTTTTCATTTCAGTGACTACAAGGAATATCACACTGACACAACAGTACGCTTCACAGTGACCATATCAGAAGCCAAGTTGGGCAAGGCCATGGAAGAAGGCCTTCACAAAACCTTTAAACTTACATCTTCCCTTTCCACAAACTCCATGGTATGTGAGGACTGGATTAATTTCATGGAAATGTATTTGTTGTGTTCATGGTCATTTGCAAATAGGATTGTTCTATATCTGGTGTTACAACCATTGTTTATCTATTGTTATTATCCATTGTCATGATGAATATAATTACCACCCTTGTCAAATTCTGATTCGTATGAAATGGTGGATTATATATTAATTTTATTTCACATATTGACACAAGTTTTGTTATCATGTGATGATCATTAGTAATTCAAAATGAACAATATTACTTAATGACAGCAAATTTTGGCTACAAAGGGTGATATATGAATCTCATGAGCTTGCTTTTAGAGAACTTTCTGAGGAAGATCTAGAGTGCATTTGATTAAATTATGTAATTTATTACAGGTATTGTCAATTTGATTATGAAATATGCTGTGATTATTCAGTTAACTTTTGACCAGGTGGACAGAAATTAGGAAATGGAATTTTGTCAAGCATTAATTGATATGTTTCTTTTGAAAGGTGTTGTTTGACCACAATGGTGTCCTACGGAAATTTGAGGCAGTAGAGGAGATTCTCCGTGAGTTCTTTGATCTGCGTCTCAAGTATTACAGCAAGAGAAAGCAGTATTTGGTGGGCATGATTCAAGCTGAAGCATCCAAGCTGTCCAACCAGGTTAGTATTTTTATTTTTTTGTCTTGCTGTAGTGGAAACTTGAGGAACAAAGGCAAAGTCCCAGGTTCGAAGAAAGTGGTTGGGAATTGTTTTCCAAGTTTGGTCACCCAAGAACTTATTTACCATCATCTTCACTACTATTTATTCCAAAATTACTTGTGTTAGATATCTCAAATTCTTTCTATTTATTTTAGGCAAGGTTCATCCTAGAGAAGTGTGACGGACGTCTAGTGATTGAGAACAAAAAGAAAAAGGATATGATTGCTGAACTCCAACGCAAGGGCTTTGATTCTGATCCTGTCAAGGCATGGAAGAGAGTGCAAGATAGAGAAGCTGCTCTGGTATGTCAACATGTTTCAGTTTTGTGTTTTATGCATTTAGTTGTCATTATGTATTATTTATTACTTGTGTTTTTATTTACCATCTGTAATACTTAGCTTTGATACTATTTTCTGTTGTTATATTGTTTATGCTGTATCACTGTCACTGGAATTTATTTGGGAAAATATTGAATGAGTAAATAAGCAGATCAGTGTAGACTTGTTGATATAAAGTTAGAGAAATGGTTCTACAGTTTTTTTATCTTAACTCTTGTAGGAGGAGGAGGAGATGCAGTCAGAGTCTGATCGTGAAGAAGTGGACTTGAAGGGCCCTGACTATGACTATTTGCTGGGTATGGCCATGTGGAGCCTTACCAAGGAAAGGAAGGATGAGCTTCTTAAAAAACGAGATGAAAAGAATCAGGAATTAGAAGAGCTTAAGAAGAAGACCCCAGATAACCTGTGGTTGAATGATCTTGATGAGTTCCTCAATAAGGTAGTGTTTTAGTACCTGGTGATATTCAATAGAATAAGTAGAGCACTCATAGCAGCAGCTAATGTTTATTGGTATTAAGTTCCGATATATGCAAAAAAAAATTTTCAGATATGATAATCAGAAATTGTGCTTAACCCAATGGTTGTTGGGTTATGTACTGTCCACTGTAGTCTTCTGTGAATTCCGTTATACATAGGTGACTCCATAAGTCGCCACCAAGGAGTCTTAAGATAATCTCTAATGACAAAGCCTGATTTGCCCATTCCTTGAATTTGCTGGGATTTTTTGTTAAATTTTTTCTAATGCTATTCTTATTGAGGTAATTACTATTATTAGCATTATGATTATTATAATGTTACAAAGATACTGATAGCAAGGAAATTGAGGAAATGTGGAAACAGGGGAGATACTTAGGACTAGTAATTGACTCCTTGGTAACTGAGCACTTGTGAAACCATCTATGTATAAGTAAATGTAAATAAATTGATTAACTAAAATTACAGCTGACATGGCATGTAATCATACCATCCACATCCAATAGGTTTATGATGTGTAGATAATGAATGTATGATATTGTGCTGAGAGATAGATTCCCCAAAATTACTGAATATTAATAATCATCAACATCACTTGCATTGTATCTCACCCACAGCTTGATGAAGTAGAACGAGAGGAGCGTGAGAGTGAAGAAGCAGCCAACAAAAAGAGCAGCGCGGGAACCAAGAAAGTTAAAAAGGTGAGAAATTAGTACTCTGCAGGAGAAATTCCTTTGTGGATAAGCTATGATGGGGTTAGCACTAGGGCATTGGCATTTTGTATTTTCACTTTTATGTATATGAAAATGATTCCAGATAAGACAGTGTTGAGGTGCATTTTTTACTGATGATAAAATGTGAAGAAAAAAGAAAAATGGGAAACTAAATCTATATAATCCTCATATTGGTATTCAAATTGGCTGTAGGTCCTGGAATGTATGATTGTTGCATTTCTAATTTGAGATCATCTTCAATCTTTAGTGCATATAGATAGTGTACAGGGTTTGATTGCTTGTAATTTTATATCCAATGATTGTTTATCTAGTATAGATTTGAAAGGAATTGACAAAGTCACAATGCAAGTATATGTTTCTAGATTATGTGTGTCTACATCTCTGAATGTCTGTGTGTCCGATTATACATTAGAATGACTGTCAAGTGTGATATTTTTCATGGACTTTCAAGTTTTATTAGTAAAAAAAACTATGATATATTCTTTTATCTTTTGTAATCCTATATCTGCAACTATTGGAATAGTACAATTAGGTTATAGATATTACAGAAAAAATAATAGGTGTTGCTGATGGTTTACTTGGTACTTGTCAGCTGGAGTTACACATGGTGTTGTGGATCTCATTATTGTTTTCATTTATTTGTTGGCCCAATGAAGAGAGGTGGAGATCCGGTAAGATGTGTATTCAAGTTTGATGAAGCATGTGGAATTGTAGGGTAGTAACAATGTTCCTTTCAGCTTCTGTCTCTCATGATGATGTCATCATTGCAAAGTAGCTTTTTGTTGTGTACTTCAAATTGGCTGCAATTATGTTCTGTCTCTGAATGTGTTCAAAAAGCTTTTTGATGCTTCATTTGGCAAAATTTTACATGTTACAAGGTCTTCATTACAAGGTATAGCATTCTTCTTTGAGTTTTGTATGTGTTGAGAATTAAATGATAGTTATCTCAATAAAACTGAAGACCATCAAAGCTTGTCTCTCCTTTATAGCAGACTTCACTCACTCGTGCGTGACTCCCGTTTTGTATAGGTTTTTATATACTTATGTGGATGTTCAGCTTTTCATTCGCTATTTGCTGTGTTTTAAAAGATAGGGCTGTATTCGTATTTTTCAAGATCTATAGTTTAAAAGCATTGCCCATTAGAAAATGTTAACATTAATGATTTACAAAAAGTTTTTGACATTTGTTAGCGAAAGGCTTGTTTATATTAATGTTACAGTTTACTTTGGTTTAAGAAAAATAGATTTTAGGATCATAATTATGGCTCTATTTTTGTCATATTTATGTTTGGTGTAGTCTCTGCTTTACAACTTTGCTTTATGCTTCAGTATTAAGTAGCAACTCTGTTCAAGATGTATCATTATATATTTGTAAAACAAATGTGCTTTTCACAATAAGGTTTGCTTGTTCTTATACATCATTTATTTTGCTTTGATTGGTCTTGTAATGTGTTCTTATTCAGATTAAGAGTCAAGCAAAAGGGATTGTAAACTTGTGAGGTCTAATAGTATATTTACCATTCTTCCATTTGGGGATTTTATGAAAATGTATTTATCTCAATATTTTTTCTTTTTAATTTTCTTGTTATATTTTGTTTTTACCAAGATAATATTTCCTTAACATTTCCATTTTTGGATACAGCTGAAGAATGAAACAATGCCATCACCTTTTGGAGAAAGAGTAGTTCCTATCATTGACCCAGAAATGAAGAAGAAGGCTGAAAAAGCAGCAGCAGCAAAGGAAAGCAAAGGCAAACGAGTAAGTGGTATTATAAGGTTTATCATCAAAATAATTTTTGATTGTGCTTTTGGCAGTAGAAGGAGCTTGTCAGGTTATATAGTTCCCTTCAGAAGTAAAGTATATTATTTATATTTAGTAATGTATTAATTAAAGAATGGCTTCTTTACATAGACTTGCAAATTAATATGTACTGAGAAAATGTTGATCTTTTGCAGGTAAAGAAGGAAGTAGTGGAGAATGATGACTTTGATGACCTTGTGGCTGCTAACACTGGCAAATCCCTAGCTGCACGGCTAGGCAATTCACCTGACTTGATCATGAAAAAAGCAAAGGCAAAGAAGGGTGATGGTATGAAACAGACAAAGCTCAATTTCAAGAAGGCAAGTAACTTTCTGCATGTATCTAAGTCAACTCTGTTTAATCATGGGTTACCTAGGAAAATGCTGGCTTAGCAATTAAAAGAAATATTTCCAGAGAAGGTACAAGAAAAATTCCTTTTCAGAGTAGTGATGAGATGTTACAAAGTGTTCCCTTATGTGTAGTACTTGGTATAGTTGTCTGATCTTGTCTTTTATGCAAGATGATGATAATGCTGCTTGGTGTTAAGAGGCAAATGTCATCTAGATGAAATATTTGAAGATTGTATTTTTTTTATCATACAGATGCTCTGTATTGGTTGTGGTGTTTGTGTCTTATGTAATGTGCTTTTGTTTTTATATCAGTCAACATGGATGTGTCTATTGCCAACAGGGATCTCCAAAGAAGAAGAAAGGAAAGAATCCTTGGGAGTCAGGGTCTGAGGATGATGATGATGAGGATGATATTGATGCTGATGATGTCCAACCCAGAGAGCGTGCCGCAGGGAGACGCACTGCAGGTAAGTTGGGTTGATTTTTATCTCATTTTTTGAACCCATGGACCCTGAGAGTACACTGTCTACTCTTGAAGTGTTTTAATAACCTGTTGATGCTGAAAGGGCATGTACATCTTTGCCCTGTTCATTGTGATTTTAGTTTATCAAATTTATTTATGTATAGTTAGCTTCAGAAGTGCTTAGTCACCAAAGAGTCAATGACTAGGCATAACTGATCTCACCTGTTTACCTTAGCCGTTGACGTTTGGATTTTTTTTATAGCTATTATTAATGTCATTAACATTTACTAACCATACTGTAAATAATAGAAATAAAAATAAAAACCTTAAAAAGAAAAGCCTTTTGCCTGAAATTTCAAGGAATGAAGCAGTAACATGAAACAGGTTAGCCGACAGAAACTCCATGGTGACAAAAACTGCAATACAAAACCAAAGGATATGTATCAAGCGGCAATGGGTTAATTTTGTTCATACATAGATGGCTCCAGAGATGCTTTGTCCCATGTTGACCTAGCCTCACCTATTTACACCATACCTTGAATTTTTGTAAAGAAGTTGATATTTATAATTGTTGATATTGATAATTATGTTAGCTATGATAGATAATGATAATGATGATAGTAATGATGATAATAATGAGGATAAATATTAGAATGACAATAAGAGTGATACTGATTATGAAGATAGCAACAATATTTACAGTAATAGAAATACTCTCCCTGGAAAATTCAAGGGTGAGGGTAAACAGGTGAGATCAGGTAGGCTAAGTAAATGACTACTTTATGACAAGTGTTGTGTAAACAAAATTAACCCATTGGGAGCTGGTATATATGCATCCACTTGATTTATTTGCACACATGCTCAGCTAGGTGATCTCGCCTGATTTTTTTCTAATGATGTTAGTTATATTTTTGTTATTATTATTATTGATTTCGTTGACATGACAATTATTATATTAGTAAAAATACTTTTAACAATGAGAAATAAAAAAAATCCAAAAATCAAGGAAAAAGGATAAAAAGTGAAATAGGACTCCTTGGTGACTACTCTTGTATATGAATAAAATCAGTAAACTGAAAGCACAATGGGCATGGCATGCCATCTTACATCAGTGGGTCAATAAAACAAAGCTATATTGGGATGAAATGCATCTCAATGTTGTTATCAGTTGAAATCCTCGTTTGGTATTATTTTGTGATTAATTTTTGGCTTTTTAATATATGTATATATATACTCTTTCAGCGGCCAAAATCAAGTTCCAGTTCAGTGAGGATGAGGAAAGTGACAGTAATGAATCTCTTCATGACAATGCTGGTGTTGAAGAAATAGACTCAGGACCTCAGCAGATGTCCATGTTGGATGACTCTATTGCGTGAGTTTCCCTGTTTTATTATTACTTTTTTGTAGAAATTACTATACATATGATATTTAGCTCCTCCGTGACGGGTACGGCTATAGCGGTCATGATGTAATAGCCTGTGACGTGTAAATGTATCCTGACTTTCAGCAGGTAGGCCGGCTGTACACAGCTTAGGCCTAACCACAAAGTCTAGACTATTGCGTAATATTACATCACAAATAAATAAATCCCCGTCACCATTGGGTTAATGTACAAAATGTGTTGGAGAAATTATACAAAAAGTGTATTATTGAATTGTATTTGTTGTTGGTATTATTATTGTTATCAATTAATTCATTCATTTTATTTTTTCTAAGAAAGAAGATATTCATGGAGTACTGCATTATGATATGAAATGGAAAAAAAATGTTGCATTTAAACTTATTCTATGATTTGATTATTAATAGGGGATTTTTAAAAATATTTCCAGGCAAGTGGAACCAAAAAATGAGGTCGTAATAAGCGATACAGATTCAGAATTTGATGTAAAACCCAAGAAAGCCACTGTTGCACCTGCACCTGTCCAAGGTAAGAGCAACCAAACTTGTTTATATATCTCTGAGGAAGTTGATCCTACTAAAGAATTTCAGGATTAATAATTTCTTCCTCTTTCTAATAGTGTCTGTAGTGGAATCCAGTAAAATTGTCATATTAACTCTTATGATCTGGATGATGTGACCACGCCATGTAAAAGTTTGGCTTGAGGGCCAGGAGTGAATGAGTTTGCCAGTTGGAGGGTAATTACTCGTTTAGCATTATGGAAGGGGCTTTCCATTGATAAGCGAGTGTGGAATATACCATCCATGAGCCATGACTGGAAGAGAGCTGGGTCTTGAGAGGATTCTATTCTTGCTTGCTGTGACTGGTGGTATAAATTGTATTACAAGAAAAAAAAAAAAAAGGATTGCACTGAGATATGGAATACCAAGAGAAATGGTATGTAGTCTGTGCAAGGAAAATGGTCCATTACCATCTGGATGAAGAAAATCAAAAGACAAATATATACAATGGAATTTAAAGAAAAAAAAGAGAGAGAAAGTAATACTGCAAAGAGGAACCTTGTCACTGCACTTGAGTGTTTGTGTGTCCCTGGTCTACAACTTGCAGGTCTGTCAGAATGGCTATTTAAGTAGCCTGATACCCATATTTTGGACCATATGATGGCAGTGAAGTATCTGAATCCAGTGATTCAATAAAACATAAATAGTAATTTTTTTTATTATTATTGTTATTATTATTTTTGAGGATGTCCACTTTGCTACCATTATCTTAATGAGATTTATGTTTACATCTCTTTTTATACATAAATGCATAGTCTTTTTGTTTGTGAATATCAAAATTTTATAAATAGAATTTCATAAATGACAGTTGTATAAAAGGTGAACTTTGACATTACAGACAAACCCACAGCATCAGATCTTTTTGACTCAATGATGGGATCCTCAAGCCCACCCAAATATGAGTCTGAACCCATCAGTAAGTATAATACGTTTTACTTGCTTTCCTAGAGATTGTTTGTTTTAAAGAGACTAGAGATAATTTTTTCTTACTTTTAGTATCTTTGAATATGAAAAGAAGTAATATTGAATGTTAAAGGTTGTGTGACAATTATTTATTTCCTCTTGTCTGTAGTAGCCAAAAAAGCTCCTGCCAAGAAGCGCACCAAGGGTGACAGCAGTAGTGAGGACGACAGTGTACCACAGCCCAAGAAGAAGCCAGGACCCAAGAAGAAGGCTACAGTGGTCCCAGATGACATGTCTGATGATGAACCCAAGCCCAAGAAGAAAGGCCGTCCCAAGAAGAAGGCTACTGGTGACAATGACATGTCAGATGATGAGCCCAAGCCCAAGAAGAAGCCAGGCCCAAAGAAGACTGCTGCAGCAAAGAAGAAGAATGACTCTGATTCAGATGATATGTTTGATGACATAGCCCCTAAGGTGAGGAGATTTCTAGTACTAAGATTTATTTACCAATACAGGCTCAGTAAATGAAATAAGATAGAAAATAAGTAATAAAGAAACTCACAACTAAATATTATAATTTTCAGGGTAAAGCAGCTTTGAATGTGTCGGATGACTTCAATATTTCTGATGTTGTTCCAAGGGAGCGGTCTGGGCGACAAAAGAAAGTAATCACCTATGCCCTAAGTGATGATGAGGACTCTGATTATTAGACTCTTGGGGCATAAGATGTCTGAACAAGTACCTTGAAAGAGAAGAGGAGAGACCTGAGGCAAACATTAGATGCTAAGTAGAAATGCTCTTTCTTTGATAATGAAATTGCTCCTGTATTTTAAGGAGCTGGTCATTGCTGTATTATAAGTATTCTAGAGCATTGTCAACTTATTTTATTTACATTTTTTTAATATTTTATTTTATCTTTTCATTTGTACGAATTTGTAACAAAAATAGCTATAACATTAGTATGAAAGGACAATTTTTAAGCTGTTGGGACCCTTTGTATTAGGCTTATTCAAAGTACTGTGTAACAATTTAAATCTTTTTAATGATAGACTTTCAAGTACAAAGGGATTATGAAAAGTCTGCTGATACAGTTGCTTTTATTTGATGCTGTATTTTTTTAATGTCTTATCAATGGTATATATTTACAAAAATACTTATAATAGCTGCAATAAAAATACTTCTGTATTTTTCAATAAATTCTTTTAGAAGAAATTTTTGTAAAAGATAATAAAGAGACTTACCATGTGCTGTAGATATATTCCAGGATTTTTTTTTAAGGTGTAATGAGATAGTAATGGATTGTGGCATTTTGAGGAGCAGCATAGGAGCTGGTATTTTAGTCTAAGTCTAGCACAAACTTTGGGAAATCTTCAGGCTCTTTTGTTGTCTTTTTTCAATTATTTCAATGTGAATTAAAAAAAAAAAGTAAAAGGGAAAAAAAATGCTAGCTGATTGTACCAATATATATTTTGGTAAAATCCAGTAAAGTAAAGAAATTGTTTTATTTTTTTTTAGGTTTCAGCGCTATTTATTTTCCTTCACCTTTCTGTCGGGACTCAAAGTCCCTTGTCTACTATCAGTTTTTGAAAATAAAGTAGATAGACTGGATATTGTTTCTTGTATACCTTCTTATTTATTAAGAATAACAAACAATTGAATTTGAAATTATGAAAGAAGGAAGTTAATGGTTTTATGCTTAATCCTTGACATGAAACCATTAATTTTATTGTGAAACTGAAATTGATAAAGAGAATTACCAATCCAAATTGGGTAAGCTACTTGCTTCCAAGTCTGCAAGTGTGTATCCAGTGGTATTTGATGACAACTTGTAATACCACAGTTTATAAGCCTGTTATTCTTTGAAAGCACCATATTAATGCAGATCTGAAAAGATTAAAACAAGGATACACCTTTTGCATTCCAGGGAATAGGGAGATCAGACTATTTATTATTTTATTGTTTTCATTTATTTTTTTATTATTCGTAGTTGAATTCAAGAATCTGCAAATAAAATTGATTGGCTAAAGATAGTACTTTCTGATATCAGTTCCTTGTGGGGTTGACTAGAATTTCAGGTGCAGCATTTTCACAATAATAATGATAATGACTGCATCAGCTATGTATTAGTAAAAAAGAAGTAAAAATATTACTAATGATAATGCTGCTGGTTACCCCTTAGGCTAGCTGAAATTTCCTTCTTTATGACAGGCTTAGATGGTAATGTGACAGAAAATTTTCAATTAATAAATCTTTAACTACCTCCACCTCTGCAAATCTTTTGAGTACTCTGTTTAGCCCATTGGAGTGGGATTGATTTTTTTGTGATCCCCTGTATATCTCCTTCCTCTGACAACACTCACCTCTTCCAACAATGCTTCCAAAGCAAATAGTGAACGTTTCCTTTCGCAGCTGCCCCGATTGTCCCTGCCTTGTCATAATTACATCCAAATACCAAGGTAAAGCATTCCGGCAAACCCATTCCTACCCAGCCTCATCCTTTCCTTAATAATTGTACTGGAACTGCCTCCATCTCCCTGGCAAGCTGCCCGGTCTATGGCAAGGGTTGGCCAGATTATGCAAATTTATTTATTTATTGAAAAATTTCTGCCACATTAACAACTAAGGTCATTAGTGATATTCTAAAATTACAGCAATAGGGAGAGGCTTAGGGATAAAGAACCCAGGTAAGGAAAGGCTATACAACTTTATAACAAAGTATTGCAGCAAAAGGGTTAAGACTGTGTTAACAAATAGGACAAAATATGTTAGATGTCAATGGTTGTAAAGCGCTGTAGGTTAGTATGGTAGTGAAAAGGATAAGAGGGAATACGCATGTGACTCTTCCTTCCCTAGATTCTCTCATTTCTCCTGAAACTGATCTAATTCCCATACTGTCCTGAACTTCTTTACGACTTTTACTGTATAGCACATTTAGTCAACTAAACCCGCTCTGTACCCTTTTCATTTGTATCATCTTATAGTGCTATATGACTTTTGATGTGTAGCAGGGAACAGTGTTAATATGGCATGTGACAGACAGAAATTCAGTTCATGTAAAGATAAAGCTATGAAAATACAATCAAATGGTATAAGAATAAATAGTATCAAAACTTTGAACTTAGAACATAGCAGACATTCAGCATTGTTGCCTTTTTTATTGCAAGTGAAATAGTTATGCTATCAGTGGGTCTGTACATCATTTTTCTTCTTCATCCCCTTCCTCTGTCCACATCGTAAAGTGTGAGAGCTGTGCTGTGTCAGTCCTTGAACTGTCTTTGTACTCTGTTTGCTATTTCTTTTTTACCCTATTCACTACCATAATAACCAACAGCGCTTTACAACCTTTGACATGTAACATATTTTGTCCTAATTATTAATTGATTTGTAACCTTTTTGCCACAATACTTTATCATAATTCTGTATGACTTTCTCACTGGAGGGCTTTGCCCCCCAAGCCTTGCCCTATTGCTATATTTGGTATACTCTGCTAAGAACCTTAGGTGTTGACGCTTCTGGAAATTTTCAATAAATAAATAATAAAATAATGTTTTCATGGACTGTCAACTATAATTTTGTTTTATTATTTTTAAAATATGTAGATGGCTGTGCAAATCCTTAGTCACCAAGAAATCAATTACTAGACCTACCTGACCTCACCTATTTAACCTTATTCCTTGAATTTTGTAAAAGATAAAATATATTACTGTTATTATTATTATCAACATTATGATGGTAATTGTTAGGATTACAATAATAATGATGACAATAGTAATGTAAATAATATTTTTCCTAAAAATAAAGAATGGGGTAAAGAGGGTAGGCAGGTAAGCCCAGTTATTGAATTCTTGGTAACTAAGCACTTGTTGAGCCATCTATCAGTTTGTATCTTATTTATCTATATCTATTTTCTATATCTATCTATGGTGATTGTGTGTGAGTGAGTGAGTGAAAGTGAGTGTGAGTGCTGGCTCCAGTAAGAACACCTATTTCCATGGTCAGGATCCTATTCCTGCCCAGTGACCCACGTAATTGGGTGCATTACAGAAAATTAGATATTATAAAACTATAGAAAATAACACAAATAATAAAATGCTGCTTACTGTTATTGCACATTTATAGACTACCTAGATATAGAGTCAGTGCAATTAAAACAATCTTGATACAACATAGAATTTGAAGGGGAAGGAGCAAGAGGGTGAGATAAGGAATTAGAGGGGGGGGGTGAAGTATTAGGAGGGGTATCAGAAGGTTGATTTGCCTTAAGACGCATATACTCATCCCCCTCTTCCTCTTTTACTATTTTTACTGACTCCTGTAACTCTTTAACCCTCATAAAGTCTATACACTCGCCCAATCCCCTTGTCTGTAAGATCCAGAACTGGTTGTTCTATCTATCCACACGTCACAAATCTGTCAGCCATGTTGGAATCCCTGGTAATGAACAGGCAGATACTCTTGCAGGCTATGCAGCAATGTCCACATCACCTCAACTACGCTTCTCACATATTCCAGCTACGGATTATTACCCCCACTTTTAAACCTTCATGTATACCCGATGGCAATCTTTTTGGTCAAGACTCCACAACAATAAATTTCATGCTATAAAACCATCAATCTCCTCTTGGTCAGCTCCATTTCACAAAAACAGACATTGGGAGACGGCCCTCGCACGCTTATGTATTGGCCACACTCGCCTAACACACGCCCATCTAATGTCACGCTCAGACCCACCCGTATGTCCTCTATGTAACATCCCTCTTTCAGTTCCACACATTCTCTTGTCCTGTCCACGCTTTAATACAGCACGTACCTCTGCTTTTCCACACCTATCCTCCCTTCACCGACCTCCCAACATATCAGACATCCTTACAGAATCCCACAGCTTCTGCCTTGACAACCTGTTCTCCTTCCTCAGACGCATAAATATCCTTCATTTGATCTAACTCCCTTACCTGAACCACCATAACCTTTTCCCCCATCTTCAACCTTTCAACACTATTCTAGATAGTTGACATAGCAACTATCACCTGACATCCCCCTTTAATATACCTTCCTATAGTGCTATATGACCTTAGATGTCTAGCACATTTATTTTAACCATTAACCATTAACCATCAGAAGGTTGAGGATCTGGGGAAGGGCATAGTTGTGACATGACTCATGTGTATCCAGGAGGGAGTGGTAGGGATAAAGGGGATGGAGGGAGGGTTAAAGCAGGTGTAGTTGGAGCTGTAGTAGCAGGAAGGAGGAGGCAGTGGTGAATATTAGTAGGATGGATATCGGCAGTTGCTTTGAGTGTGGAGAGAGTGGGAATATGGAATTTGAGGGTGGATGAGGGTTTTTGGTGTCATTTTGGGACTCGAGCAGATAGTTTTTAACATCTTCAAGATTTCTGTAATGGAGTTGGTTAGGGAGTTCTGGAAGAGAAAGGTTTTCTTATGAGGTGGGAAGAGGAGAAGAGTAGAGGCAAGGGTAGGTGCAGGTGAGTGTGTGGTAGGAGAAAGGGTGGAATGTTTAGTCTGTCTACTGCAGGAAGTGAGGGGAGGGAGAGGGGAAGGTTTTGGGGCTGTAGTAATCAGAGTGTCTGGAATTAGAGGGGCAAAAGAATTTGACCTGGGCAGGTAGGAGGTAGAAGTGGGAAAGTAAAATGTAGGAGGGATAGGTATAGGGGAGGGTGTAGGAACTTCTTGGAAGCAAGGGGGAGGGGGAGTGACATTACTGGAGTAGGGAGTATGAGAAAAACCTTGTCTACGTGCTTCCTGTGTGGCTTCACACAGAGTGAGACCAAGGCTGTATCTGAGAGTTGCTACCTCACTCAAACTGGTATGTGGGGCAGCCTCTATAAAATACATTATGGGGTGCAGCCGCAGTTAGCACATGTGCATGACTACAGAGCAGTTTGATCTGTTATGACCAGGTTGGGCACATAGAGAGCATCAGGCTGTGGAACGGCAGTGTTTGGCAGGATGTTCTAAACACCATCCCCCCAATCCCTTGCCCGTTGTTGTCGTGGGGGGGCTTAGGAGACAGAGACTGAGATCCAATGTGGGAGATCTCCCCCGCCTTGGATCTCAGCCCTTGCCTCAACTAATTTTGCACAGTCTTTTTCTCCTTCTTTCTCTCTCTTATCTTCCCCAACCCTTCCCCTATGAAACTCCTAAGATGTAAGAGCCGTGTTGAAAGGATGAAAGGCTGACCTTGTGCCAGTCATGAACGACCTCGGAGCCATGGGCACAGTATTCCTTGATAAATCATTTAGCCCTTACCCATTACAGGGACCCTGAGGGGTGGACCGTTTACCTTCCCCACATAAAACCAGGCTTTCCATGGCCAGTAATGAAGATTTTGTACCCTTATTTGGGGCATTGAGGCTTGCCCCATTATTAAATAGCCTCTCTGAATCTGAATACTCTAGTTTACCGACCCCTGACTCCCCTTTGAACACTACTATTACACCTCCCTACTCTATACATACTACCAACCTAACCCATCCTGACTCATCTACCCAGATACTAACTCAACCCTTAGAAGATATCCCATCCTCACTCCCAACATCATCCAGCCCACTTCCTGAACAATCATCTTCATAATATACTCAAACTTCCCTT